GATCCAACATGGGGAGGGGATGGTCGAGTAACTTCTGTCAACGTGCGTACAAGTACAGAGGTGATCCCCTCCAGTCTCCATAAACCTACTAATATAGTATGCACAAAGGGAACAAAAAGACATGTGAAACATAGCCACTTGAAGTGTAACATGGCTTCTGCTCCGAGTTAAGTGGTCATGCAATTTGCTTCTAGTTCATAATTACAAGATATTGTCAGCTTTCTAAGATCTACTCGAAAGTCCAAGCGTTACAAGGTCAGCAAGACTTGCTTGGAAGTATATTACAAAGGAACTAAAGGAGCTCAATTTTGATGATTTTCTTGAAGCAAGGTTGGAACATAACAATGTAGTTGTAACCGACAAGATAAAAGAAAGGAACAAGTAAAATCAAAAGATTGATAAATTGAAGAATTCAATTTTGATTCTCATTTCCTGTGAGTGAGGAAAAGTTTGAAGAGCTTACATAGTTCATTGTATGAGTCATGGTCATCAAGTCCAATTCTGCATTTGACACTCACGGGAACATTTGTATTTGCAGCAATTACGCACATGGCCTCAGCAACAAACTAACCTTGTAAAGGTTGTGCATATATCAGAGTAACTATACAGAAATAATATATTTGATGTGTCAAGCAAGCAAATCTGAACCTTTGGATCAAGCATGAGGCGCACACCAAAACATCCATGTCCAGCTACTCTGGGGCTAGGACACCCACAACTATTATATAATAGAGAAAAAGAATCAATTATGGGTCTGAATAAAATCTAGAAACCTCTATTTTAGATAGGAAAAGCAGAACGTACTTAAAATTAATTTCATCATAGCCATATGGAGTTGCCAATTGTGTCGCTTTGGCCAAGTTCTCCAAATTATTTCCCCCAATTTGAAGCACTATAGGATGTTGCTCCGGGCCATATGCCAAGAATCTATCCTGGTATATTAGAAAAATCACATAAATGTCAGATCTCACTACACAATAGAAACACACAAGCATTAGTCAGTGACAAGATGCTCTAAAAGGTTTAAGCCACAAGCGCAATAACTTATCAGTACAAGAAAGCTCCCTTTGGAGATCTACACAGGCTACAACAATATATCATCTAGGTCCCCTTCTTTCCCACGTATTTTACACCAAAAAAATAATATTCCTTTTCTAGGGGACCATCTAACTGGGACAAAGGTCTTTGTTTAGGGAAATGAAAAAGACCAACCAATTCGCTCGGTTCCTTGAAAGACAACCCAAAGTTTCTAATTAATTGAAATAAAAACAGTAAATTCATCGATTTAGTAAACTAAATACAACTGTCATACACCATCTATAGAAGTGTTAACAGTAAGCTTCTCTTGGTAGAGGGTCAGTTTACATCATTGTAAAAACTAGGCATATACCCAGAGAGACATACATCCACTATTTCCTTTTATCATGAGAACTGGGTCTGGCAGCAAGAGGATCAAAATCACAGAAAGTAACTTCTGACTACTTCACCGTCTCACGACTTAAACAAATGGGGAAGAAATCTTAGGATATTTTGATTTATTCACATAATCACATTCACTGAAAAATTTAACCTGTACACTTGAGTTGAATTATCATAGACGAGTTTGAATCCTCTGCAACTGTGAGCCTTTACATACTATAGCACAGTAAATGTTCTTCTCTTTCTTATTTCTTTTTGTCTAGAATAAGAACAAAGGATTAGCTCAAATGACTCTCTTCTTTTTGCTTAGCTCTAGTTATCAGTAAGAAACAAAAAGTACTTTATAGTTGGGTAGAGAAGCACTAGTCTCATTCCATGATGCAGAACTTTACCAAATTGCCAGTCTGGTAGACAATGGTTTCAGCAGCAAGCATTTCTGAGTAGAGCCACGCCTTTTTTGAGATAAGACGGGCCAAAGTTCTGTAATGATTATCGGTCCATTCCATCATGGGGGCAACACTGTTTAAATACAAAGGTTTACAAATGTTAGGGAGCTTTTTTATAAATTATTATTTTAAGTACAGAAATATTAGGGAGCTTATTAACATTGTATAGAGACAAAATTGGACTTCTATATATGCAAGAACCTGAACCAAGGGGGAGGATAGTGCTCTGCGCCCATTAGAGAAGTAGAGTGGAGTTTGGAGTTTTGATGATAAGCACACAATGTCTTGCTTGAACTTCCATAAAAGAAGTGTGATGACAATCTGCCACAGGTTTTCAGGATAACAGAATGAAAAAGGAGTTAAAGAAGAAATCAAAAATGCCCCGTAGATCTCTTCTTCCCTCTAACCAGCGTAGGCTGCTGTTTATGAACTACGCATTGGATCAAATTTGGCATCACACAAGAGAATATGCTATATACACTCAGAGGCACTTTGAAACATTTTCACAAATAGATAATTCACTGAATAAATAAAGACCTGACGCCACATAGATCTATTTAAGCGCAAAAAGAAATATGTGCCATTTTAAGGACAAACTGACAGGAAGTGGAAAGTTGATAGACTGGCTCAATTAACTGAACATTTTAAATAATTTTACAGGTGCTGTAGGTGTTGCCTAGAAGACCGGAAAAGCCACCCTCACAAGTTAGAAAGAAGAGAAGTTACAAAGACAAATTAAAAGCATTTCGAGTACGATTTCAGCATTCATCTTGAGGTTAAGAAAAAGGTTCTAGACGCTTAGAAGGCAGAACTGATGCACTACACTGTTTAACATACAAATGTTTAAAATCATTAGCATTTTGTGGTAATCTGAACAACTAAATTGATATAGATGCTATGAAAGATTTCCTTGGCTCAGGTACAGATGTGAGAAAGATTAAATCATTTATAGCCTTCTTGATAACTAGGACACACTTGGTGCTGTTTTCACGAATCAAATATTATCATCAATCAACAAGGAACTAATTCTCAACCCTAAGCTTTTCAAGGTCAGTAATATGAATCCTCTATAATAATAAAATATTATTTATCAGCAAATTCATGACATTCTTTCTCTTTTAGAAGTCCCAAAATGTTATCACAATATTCCACTAATCATACACTAGCCATTCCATTTAAATAGACGCCATTCAAATGATTATGGAGTTTCCTAAGTTAAATTTGACTTGTACAATAACATTCAAGGTTTTTTAAGAGAGGGTGATAAAAATAAATCAAATTGGAGTTTAAAATTGAGTATTACAAGGAATCAGATTCTTGAAATATGTGAAAACTATATGGGACTAATACCAAAAACTGGAAAAGTGTAACATTTTAGAACATCCCAAAGTAGGATTATCATATAAATAAGGGCAGACAGGCATTATTCTATACAATTTTCAAAAGTTCCAAAATTTTACATCCCTAAATAAATTAAACTTGGATACAGTGTTTTTCTCTAAAACTAACGTCTTAAAAATCACTTTGGTGTTTTTATCTGCCACTCGTATATTAGACAGAGTCAAAGTTAAACGTTCTACACTTCATGGTCATATAGATAATATCAAAGTCAAATTTTCTACACCAAAATTCAATCTTTCTATGTTTTCTCCATATAATATACCCTTTCCAGCTTCCAACCCAAAATAAAATAGCTCTTAAACAATTCCTCCTAATTTTTTCATTGCTTAATATCTCAATCATATTTCAATTACCCAAAATCTCAGAACCATCCAATTCCTACACTTAAATACTTTCTTCCCACATTAAGCTTTTTTCCCTCCCAACAGGAATTGACCCCCCACCCCCACTCACCCAAAAAAAAAAGCGCGAACACGAAAATATATAAATTATGAGGGTTTTGAGGTTTAAAAAAGTGACCAGAATAAACTGAAATTAGGGAACTCAAGAACAAAACAAGAAAAACAAAATAATTTTTTTTTTAATAAAAAGGATAAGCACAAAAACAATACTAATAGCTTAGTAGAATGAAGAAAAAAGAGATTTAGGGTTTTACATTGAAGCAGAGAGAAGCTGCGGCAGCTACTTCTGAGGCGAATCCAGTGGCCGCTGGAGAAGACAAAACCAAATAAACAAAAGCTCCAAGTGTTAAGGAAATAGACTTTATCTTTTTTCACTTTTTTTTTTTTTGGCTCTGGGTTAAAGATATCTATTTTCTTAATTAATGATATTTTTTTATAAAAAAAATATGAAATTTGTTGTTCCGAATATACGAGGTAAAAGTTATTTGTCATTGATGTTTGACGATGAAATCAATTTGATGTTTTATGATAGGTCCGATCAAAGATAATAATCAAATATCAAATTAAGGTCGTGTCAAAGTAAAAAAAATTTACCACTTTGGGATTTGAAAATGAAGTGTTTTATTTGTTGAAGTACTGATTATGTTATTGAATAATTGAGTTAATATCTCAAAAGTTCACTCAACTTCGATAATCTATCTAGCAAGGTCATTCAACTTTTGTTATGTATCAATAAAATTATTTTGACTTAATTCTTTTTTGTCAAAAACTTCTCTCATCTAAATTTTGATGTTTTATGATAGGCAGGATCAAACGTATAATTGTTCTGTTGGTTAAAATTATTTCACAATGAAATGATCTTTACCACATTTCATAATATTTCTATTGTAATATCAAAAGATACGTAGTAGGAAAATATTTTGAAGTAATCTGACACTTTCTTGTAGAATTCTTTCATATCGATGCAATTATAAGTAGGAAATAGGAATAATCACAAGACAAAACAAACTTCAATTCTTTAATCATCTTTTATAGTGATAATTTAAAAAAGTTATAAACATAATAATACTTTTAAATTTAATAGCAAATTGTATTCGAGAACAACCTTCTGATGGCTCTATTTTAACCAAGACCAAACCCAAACGAATCTTCAAAAATTATAGCAGTTTTAAGCATTTACTCTAAACAAATATGAAGTTTCAAATTACAATTTCACACACAAGATATAAAATATATGCAAAGGTTTAGATGTGTCTCATGATCAGTTGCCAAATGCCTCAAGCTGATTATATCTAATGGAATTTATGGTAGTAACATTGGTGATTTCAGTCTATTCATATTGAAAAGAGAGATCATAGAATAACATCTACTCAAAGTTAATACCAGCAAGAGCAGAACTTTGTAATCTCTAGAAATTTTACAATAAAATTGCAAACACAACAAGATTGATCCGAAGTGCCACCAAAAGGCTCAAAAACTGTCTTCTACCTCTGACCAGAAAAGAGAATCTATAAACTGGAAAACAAAAGGTGACGATAAAACAGAATCAAACCGACGCCATACATGTCAATCTGGTATCCAATGGTTAGATAACAAGCATCAAACACACAATGAAGGGTGCAGTAACCTTGAAATTTTGACCTACAATGATCAGTTACTTCCTTTGAGTAAACCAAAGAGGAACAACTCTGGGAATCAGCAGTTGCTCATGCGCTTGGCATCAAAAGTCGCAACATACATTGCATCTAATAACCAATTTCAAAAGCAGTCATTAGATCTCCTTCGAAGATATTAAACTTATTGCTTGCTGTCCAAGTTCCAAGTTAATCTTCTTCCCATCATCAAGAACAACAGACACAACAGATGAGCCTTCAAAGACTTCTACAACAGTCCCTCTCTGCCTGAAAAAGAAAACAAATTGAAAGGTCAAACTAGCATATACCTCAAGGAGAGTCTGGTACAGATTTATATGAGTGCTCTTCTACACGATTTGATATTTAAGAACCAGCAAGGAAGCCACACTAGTTAAATGCCCAAATCAAACTTCTTCCTATAGACAATATGTTCCTTTTATTTATCCTACTATATCCTTGAGTCCCAATGCAATCCAGAATATCACAGCACTCATTTTCATTTAAGTTGCATAAATTTTAAGTATGTATAGTAGTCAGCTTGACTAAAAATAAACTCACCAGGTATTATCAAACAGATGATGAAATTGCACTCTCTTTCCATTTGCATTTTGTCCCAACCTCTTCAGTATCCATGTATCAGACAAGATGTCATCCGTTATAATGCCTTCATATCGCTGTGATGAATTATCATCAGACTTGATCGATGCTTTTTCTTCAAAAGCTGGCGATCTCTTTCTTTTAGACTCATGGCCCTTATCCATGCTTTTCTCCGGCTCTCCTGGAGAAGCAAAGGCATTTTGACTTTCATGGTAAGGATTCTTGAACTTGGGCCCTTGGAGAGGTCTTGGATCCATTCTCGGTGAATTAGATAATGAAGGTGATCCTCTTTTTTCTTCATACAGGTCACCACAAGAAGCGAGCCCAGCTTCGGCGTGTTTAACAGAAGCTAATTTGTTGTCCCTTGTAGCAGGAACTTCAAATCCAGCGTTTGTAGTAACACTACTATCATTGCTTCTTTTTCCTAATATGCCCGAAGTCTTGAGTGGAGGATAAGGTCCAGATCCACCGGCAAATTTTCCACCAACTTTGGCAGGGAAATGAGTAGCTTCTGAGCTAACTTTCTTGATCTTTATTAAGTTACTTTCTTTTGATACAGAAACGAGAGCCACAATGAGAAGTTACTAATAGAATATTAAAAGTATGCTCCTAAAAACAACAAGTACAATCTTATCTTCTTTCCCTGTCACCAACACAAAAAATAAAAAAGTTACAACACATCTTACCTTTTCCATCACCAAGTGTAGTTTCATTCCTTTCTGAGTTTTCATTCTCTCTCAGCTGAACCAGATCCTCATTACCTGATAAACAAAGAAGTACATACAATAATATATTTTGACACGGTAAATAGTTTTGGTAACGTGAAAATCTCCCATATACAAGAGGTATACCAAAAAGTAGAGAATCTACATCATATAAGAACAAAAGTATAGAGTACTGAAACAAGTTACTCTATCTCAAGAGATTTTACTGCCTTGATGAATCAATTTATACATCGAATTAAAAGAATTCAGGGAACAACAGACGCAAGAGCGAATCCAGATATTGAATACGCCAAAAAAAGAAGAAGGAACAACAGAAGTATTGCCACCTACCGTTTCAACATTAAGCTCATTGATTTACAAAATTAACCAAATTTTCTAAAATTTCCAAGTGTATGTGTGTGGGTGTGTTGGTGTGGGTGTTAACATCAGAAAACAATAAAAGTATGCACATGAACTTAAACACATTAAGGTTATTTTAATTTTAATTTTTTGTGGGTCATTAGCAGCTTTCCGGACTCTTTAGCTGCAAGTATTCACACAGAGCAAAGAATCTGAATTATAAAAAGAGAACTCATGTGTTTTATACTAGAATGTATCCATTAAGACATCAAATTCAGCGTCTTGAGAAAAGGGAAGAAGTCTGTGAGTAAGATGAACACAAGTGCTACTCTTCTAAAATTTGTCAAGATCATCAAAAGAAAAACGTTGAAACTACCGGATTACATTTTTACCATTGTTTAATTAATATTAACATTGTTATATTAAACTTTGAGGACGTGACATAAAATCACCCATTGCTTTACTTTAAAAAGAATTTCAACTTAAGTCATGAAGGAAGCAAAAAAAAAAAGAAAAAGAAAAGAACAAACATCAGATCACATGATGACCAAAGCAAAATACCAGAAGTCTTGAGTGGAGGATAAGGTCTACACACATCGGCAAATATTCCCCCAACTTTGGCTGGGAATTGAGTAGCTTCTGAGCTAACTTTCATGATCTTTACTAAGTTACTTTCTTTTGACACAGCAACGAGAGCCAAAAAGAAAAGTTACGAATAGAATATTAAAAGTATGCTCCTAAAACCAACAAGTACAATCTTATCTTCTTTCTTCGTCACTAACACATAAAATAAAAAAGTTACAACACGTCTTACCTTTTCCTTCACCAAGTGTAGTCTCATTCCTTTCTGAGTTTTCATTCTCTCTCAGCTGAACCAGATCCTCATTACCTGATAAACAACGAAGTACATACGATAATATTTTTGACACGGTAAATAGTTTTATTAACATGAAAATCTCCCATATACAAGAGGTATACCAAAAAGTAGAGAATCTACATCATATATGAACAGAAGTATTGAGTACTGAAAAAAGTTACTCTAGCTCAAGAGATTTTGCTGCCTGAGCTAACTGTCGTGATCTTTACTAAGTTACTTTCTTTTGACACAGCAACGAGAGCCAAAAAGAAAAGTTACGAATAGAATATTAAAAGTATGCTCCTAAAACTAACAAGTACAATCTTATCTTCTTTCCTCGTCACAACACATAAAATAAAAAAGTTACAACACGTCTTACCTTTTCCATCACCAAGTGTAGTCTCATTCCTTTCTGAGTTTTCATTCTCACTCAGCTGAACCAGATCCTCATTACCTGATAATCAACGAAGTACATACAATAATATTTTTGACACAGTAAATAGTTTTATTAACATGAAAATCTCCCATATACAAGAGGTATACCAAAAAGTAGAGAATCTACATCATATATGAACAGAAGTATTGAGTACTGAAACAAGTTACTCTATATCAAGAGATTTTTCTGCCTTGATCAATCAATTTATACATCGAATTAAAAGAATTCAGGGAACAACAGACGCAAGAGCGAATCCAGAAATTGAACACGCCAAAAAAAGAAGGAACAACAGAAGTATTGCCACCTACCCGTTTCGCATTAAGCTCATTGATTTGCAAATTTAACCAAATTTTCTAAAATTTCCAAGTGTATGTGTGTGGGTGTGTTGGTGTGGGTGTTAACATCAGAAAACAATAAAAGTATGCACATGAACTTCAACACATTAAGGTTATTTTAATTTTAATTTTTTGTGGGTCATTAGCAGCTTTCCGGACTCTTTAGCTGCAAGTATTCACACAGAGCAAAGAATCTGAATTATAAAAAGAGAACTCATGTGTTTTATACTAGAATGTATCCATTAAGACATCAAATTCAGCGTCTTGAGAAAAGGAAAGAAGTCTGTGAGTAAGATGAACACTAGTGCTACTCTTCTAAAATTTGTCAAGATCATCAAAAGAAAAACGTTGAAACTACCGGATTACATTTTTACCATTGTTTTTAATTAATATTAACATTGTTATATTAAACTTTAAGGACGTGACTTAAAATCACCCATTGCTTTACTTTAAGAAGAATTTAAACTTAAGTCATGAAGGAAGCAAAAAAAAAAAGAAAAAGAAAAGAACAAACATCAGATCACATGATGACCAAAGCAAAATATCAGAAGTCTTGAGTGGAGGATAAGGTCTACACACATAGGCAAATATTCCCCCAACTTTGGCTGGGATTTGAGTAGCTTCTGAGCTAACTTTCATGATCTTTACTAAGTTACTTTCTTTTGACACAGCAACGAGAGCCAAAAAGAAAAGTTACGAATAGAATATTAAAAGTATACTCCTAAAACCAACAAGTACAATCTTATCTTCTTTCCTCATCACCAACACATAAAATAAAAAAGTTGCAACACGTCTTACCTTTTCCATCACCAAGTGTAGTCTCATTCCTTTCTGAGATTTCATTCTCTCTCAGCTGAACCAGATCCTCATTACCTGATAAACAACGAAGTACATACAATAATATTTTTGACACGGTAAATAGTTTTATTAACCTGAAAATCATCCATATACAAGAGGTATACCAAAAAGTAGAGAATCTACATCATATATGAACAGAAGTATTGAGTACTGAAACAAGTTACTCTAGCTCAAGAGATTTTGCTGCCTGAGCTAACTGTCGTGATCTTACTAAGTTACTTTCTATTGACACAGCAACGAGAGCCAAAAAGAAAAGTTACGAATAGAATATTAAAAGTATGCTCCTAAAACTAACAAGTACAATCTTATCTTCTTTCCTCGTCACCAACACAAAATAAAAAAGTTACAACACGTCTTACCTTTTCCATCACCAAGTGTAGTCTCATTCCTTTCTGAGTTTTCATTCTCTCTCAGCTGAACCAGATCCTCATTACCTGATAAACAACGAAGTACATACAATAATATTTTTGACACGGTAAATAGTTTTATTAACATGAAAATCTCCCATATACAAGAGGTATACCAAAAAGTAGAGAATCTACATCATATATGAACAGAAGTATTGAGTACTGAAACAAGTTACTCTAGCTCAAGAGATTTTGCTGCCTGAGCTAACTGCCGTGATCTTTACTAAGTTACTTTCTTTTGACAAAGCAACGAGAGCCAAAAAGAAAATTTACGAATAGCATATTAAAAGTATGCTCCTAAAACTAACAAGTACAATCTTATCTTCTTTCCTCGTCACCAACACATAAAATAAAAAAGTTACAACACGTCTTACCTTTTCCATCACCAAGTGTAGTCTCATTCCTTTCTGAGTTTTCATTCTCTCTCAGCTGAACCAGATCCTCATTACCTGATAAACAACGAAGTACATACAATAATATTTTTGACACAGTAAATAGTTTTATTAACATGAAAATCTCCCATATACAAGAGGTATACCAAAAAGTAGAGAATCTACATCATATATGAACAGAAGTATTGAGTACTGAAACAAGTTACTCTATATCAAGAGATTTTTCTGCCTTGATCAATCAATTTATACATCGAATTAAAAGAATTCAGGGAACAACAGACGCAAGAGCGAATCCAGAAATTGAACACGCCAAAAAAAGAAGGAACAACAGAAGTATTGCCACCTACCCGTTTCGCATTAAGCTCATTGATTTGCAAATTTAACCAAATTTTCTAAAATTTCCAAGTGTATGTGTGTGGGTGTGTTGGTGTGGGTGTTAACATCAGAAAACAATAAAATTATGCACATGAACTTAAACACATTAAGGTTATTTTAATTTTAATTTTTTGTGGGTCATTAGCAGCTTTCCGGACTCTTCAGCTGCAAGTATTCACACAGAGCAAAGAATCTGAATTATAAAAAGAGAACTCCTCTGTTTTATACTAGAATGTAATCATTAAGACATCAAATTCAGCGTCTTGAGAAAAGGGAAGAAGTCTTTGAGTAAGATGAACACAAGTTCCACTCTTCTAAAATTTGTCAAGATCATCAAAAGAAAAACATTGAAACTACTGGATTACATTTTTACCATTGTTTAATTAATATAAACATTGTTATATTAAACTTTGAGGATGTGACATAAAATCACCCATTGCTTTACTTTCAAAAGAATTTCAACTTAAGTCATGAACGAAGCAAAAAAAAGAAAAAAAGAACAAACATCAGATCACATGATGACCAAAGCACACATTCCAACTATGCCAAATAAGCAGCCAATTATCCAAGGAAATGAGAAGAAATATGCAGCATACGTTTACTTCCACGCTAGTTTTTTATCTACAAGAAAATGCATTGTGAGAACATACATAATAGATACTTTTAACTTCTACTAACAAAAAGTAACCCAAGATTCATGGTACTTCATGATATTCCTTAGCCAAATTATATGTCCTTTCTTTATAATCAATATTAGAGATACTTATGACATGTACTAACAAAAAGAAACCTATGAAATGCAGTATTTTATGATACCCTAGTCCTTTCTTTATTACAGAGAAATCCTCAAGGCCCCTAACATGAGGTTCAAACTGTGGGGATAATGAGCACACGCACCTACGCTTCTTCACTTAAATATCAGGCTTTTGTTAGCACAGGGACGTGATCTTAATACACGTATCATGCGATGCTCTCTACCACTAAAAAACCTGGGGAAACTTGTATATGAACTCCATACTAATCATAGATGAAAATCTCGAAGAGAAAAAAATGCACAGAGGAAAACTAAGATCATCTTTCTCACTGGCGGAACTTTTTGTCTGGATGAGATAACAATTTAGAAAACCGTAGCTTTCGTGTCATGAGTGATGCAAGCTAGTAGAAAAGCATATCTACAGTCATCAAACTCTATGGAGAAGCCACATTTAAACAAGATTCATCCAAATAAGAAAACGGAAAGAAAGAAGAACCCGAAGACGACAAATAGAAAATAAAAATTACCATGTGAAGTAGTCAAATCTTGCTCTTTCTGACAGCTTGAAGCATCGGACTTCGGAGAACCTGCTATATTTTTATCCAACGCGCCCAAATGTATAACACCTTTTGGATCCTTGGAGGTCTTTGGCATGCTTGTTTGAATTCCAACATCATCCCCATCCAAACGCTGAGGCTTGCTACCTTTCCTTTGGACTGTCCTCTTACCCGTGTTTCCAGTAATGTCATCTATGACCCCTGCCATATTAAATGAACATATACCTTCTGTCAAGTTACCAGCAGGAGAAAAAAAGCTATCTAGTTCCCCATAAGCCTGCAATTCATCATTCTTGACATCACCAGCACTATATCCACCAGATGGAGCATCTGGATGTCCTTCATATTGTCCAATTAACCCCTTCTCTTTACCAGATTTCTTTCCATATCCCTTGCTCTTTTTGAGAGATTTGTCAACTAAACCTTTATGAGAGAACTTCAAGGATTTTTTATTTGCATTTTTTACAACAGGAGCAGTATCTTCATCATCTGAAAAGGGTGAAATAGAAAACACTTCATCTTCAACTGGCAACCCAGCTCCTGCCCTCAAATTTGCAATTAAATCCCTATCAGCTAAATCTCTCCTCCTCCAAATCTCCTGAACAACATTCTCAGATTTTGTGGACTGAGAACATCAATAGAGAATTATCAGGATAGAGTTCTCAATTAACTTTTTTAATGAAATTAATCACTGCCATAAACACACCTGATCACTACATCCGCGGCATTCTGGACATGAATACAACAAACTTCTATCCACTTGAAACTGCAAATAGATTTCATCACTGCAAAGCAAATACCCATTTTCAAATTAAAATTTTCAATGGAGTAACTCTCTCAAAGCTTAGTGGAAGTACAATCAAGGTTGCATAAGTTAGCAGTTTATATAGCACGAATGACAGGAGAACAAATCGGCAATCCACAAATATGTCAGGATATTTATATAGCGAAGAGGAACTTTCTGCAAATTAGAACTAGCGCCCTGTCAACTGACTCGACTCTTAACAAGGCAAAATGCAGCATAAACAGCAGTCCCCAAAATGTCATTCAATCATTCAATGAAACAATAAAAGTCAACAGGGAATGATGAGATTATTCTTGGAAACATTTCCTTAATTCGAGTTTAAGAGAGAGAAAAAAGTCTCAAGTTCAGTGTTTCTCTTGTTCGATTGAATTTTATATTTACTCATTAATTCATTTCAATAACTATTCCAGGAAAAAGATTCACTTTGATAACTATTCGAGGATATTTTACAATTTCTTCATTTAAGAAAGAAACGTAAATCTTCTTAATTGCTCCAAAAAAATAACTCAAATATAATAAAAGACTTCTCTATATAAGATTCAAATATAATTGATCCGTCCATTTGCCATCTATTTCCAATTCCAACAAACAATTCATCTAGTCAATGCAAGACTAACATAGGCAACACATTATGTCATCTGGCTTAACTATGGTAGTTTGAAATCAACATTTGAAAAATATTTGATTACAAAGTAGAAACACCGTTATAGTTCTTCTACAACTAGACAAGAATAGTGTAAGAGAAGAGATGTAGTAAGTAACAATAGCTCAAAAGTAGACAATGGAGATCCGCAAAGATAACCGGATGCTTGGCGCTTAGGACAAGGAGCATCGGGAGTCTCTTAAGAAAGGACAAAGACTAATGAACATCATGTTTACACCAATCGGATTTCGAAAAATCCTTCGCCCCTTATCTTCTCGTCTATCTTCTTTATCTTCTAATTGAATCGCCTGCCTTCTTTCAAACCTTACTTGAAAGGCTTGCTTTCTTAGAAAACATAAGCCCTTTACACACTGATACTTTAAGGGTGACCTCCTACTCCTCATTCTTATTTTAAGTGGTACTATTACCCCCTTCTCCAAACAATACCAAATTTATATATATAAAATGAATTCTAAATCAATATTATTCAATGATCATTTAATCATTTTTTTACAATACATTATTTTTTAATTTTATTTTTACTTTTGCACTTATTTTGTACCTCTTCTCTATAACAGTTAAGTACATGAATATTTTGAAACATTTGAGATTACATATAAAAAGGAAAAAGTACAAATATGTTGGTTTAAAAAGATAAATGATTATCAAACAATGAAAAAGACATAATTATTATTCTATGAGATTTAACATGTTTACCCTCAAAATAATTAATGATAAATACAAAATGTGATTAGCTTTACTATATATATCCAAAAAATAGAAGAAAGGTTGAATACAAAAATACAGTAATCAACTACGAAGTTATATTTAAAAACTCAAAACGATTGAGATATGAAAAATAAATATTTACTTACAACTTCATATTGGAGTATATTCATCTTGTAACAATCATAATTTACATATTTCTCAACAAAAAGAAGATGAATATACATGAAGTTTTAAAGAATACAAATAAATAAAATAGTAAGAATTCTTATAATTACAAACTGGTAATGAAAATTTTATAAGGGATGTAGACTAACCTACTATAGAATGCAAGATGATTACAAACTTGAATAACACAAGGAATATAAATCATGTGGTGTGAGTATGTTTGATAGACTCTTCATTACCCCCACTTTATCTTACAAATTAAAATTGAAAGATTATTAGACTCTTCATTATCTACATTCAATTAGGACATGAATATATGATGCATTAAGATCTTATTTGATGCATGAATTTAAATATAACTTTTACTTAATATTTAATTAATTAAATAGATATTAATATTAATTTATTTTAGAGATAAAATAAGGGTAAAATGGTAATTCAACTTTGAGGTTAGGAGCTTCCCACTTATAATAATATATATGATATGATGATATGATATGATGATATGATGATATATTTGGAATTTTTTCAATTTATTAGTCATTGTTTTATTTTTCACTTTTCACCTTCTTCTTTCTTTTTCTACTTCACCTTATTTTCAATTTCCATCGCAGCTTTGAGTTGCACAATTAGGAAAAATAGGCAGAAACAAATCAATTTAGATAGTCCTTTGTGGCTTTGGTGGCATCTAGATCAACACATTATTGCTTCAAGAGAAACTCCCATCGAACTTCAATAATGAGATGCACCACACACTGTCAATGACTCATAATTGAAAGTTCTTAGCAAGGCAGTTCTGAGATAAAATAGATAGCTCCAAAAAGGACAAAAGAAAAAGATCATCAAAATTAATTTTCCAGCGAAGATGAAATTGTTTTATCATTTCTTTTGAATCTTGTTTACCCATCTCGCAGAAAACATGGTGGGCGGCAAACAAATTTTTAGTCGAAGAAATCTTCTGAACTTTTAAGCATTTTATTCAATATCTAACCCTAGAAAGAAAATTATTTAAAGATGACAAAATAAGAAAAGAAAATGGCGAGGGAAATGACTAGCGGCTAAGTTGCTCGGACTCTTCACTTTTGTTGAAGACCCGTGTCAACAAGACGTGGGTGTGGGTGCGGGACCCGTTTCTGATTTCAATCAATTTTGGGTACTTTTACCAAAATCGATGGGAAACTATGGATAATTTTTAAGATTTCTATAATCAATACAAAAGCTAAGATGAAATTGAAGGAAATGAAAATACGTGTTATATAGAAATTTCTATGTCACCCCGTTTCCTTTTATCTCCTTTTTGGATTAAGTTATTCACATACTATCTCATAATTTAGGTTATAGCTCTATTCTAGGATATTCTAATTAATTTTTGGGTGAATACCCGCACCCGTATTCATACATGGATCTTGTTAGAACATGAATAGGTTTATATAATCCTATTAGAATAAGAATATGTTTATACAATTCTATTTAGAATATAATAGGAATAGAGATAGAAAGAAGAATAGTGAACAATATCCAACTTGGTAAAGAATTGTTTTGTAGTTTCTATAAATAGGGTCTCCATGTAATAATGTAGAAACAACAACAGTTTCACCAATAATTTTCTCCTATATTTCTCACATGGTATCAAAGCCTCTACGATCTTGTTCCGCTGCCGGCGCATGGCTATTACCCATATTATTTCACTTTTTCAATAGAATTGTCAAGTCAATCTGACCTCTCCTATATATTTCTATTTTCCAGTTGGGTTGCACCATCATTCCGACCCTATTACTTGTTAGATTGTGACCATTTTTAGCCAACAAATCTAATACTCCGGCATATGAACATGTTTCAGCCAGTTTTCTGGTGACTTTTGTGTTTAATATTTACTCCTCTATTTGATTCCAGCATGATCTATATACTTTGTACTAGATTTTGAGCACTTTTCGGCACCACTACTTTGTGAAGAAGTCTATATGGAGCAACCACTTAATTTTGTTGCTCAGGGGGAGTTTCATAGTCTTGTATGTCGATTATGTAAGTCACTCTATGGTCTGAATAGTCTTTGCAAGCTTGGTTTGGGAAGTTCAACACTGAAATTTTATCACTTTGTGATTTATCGACATTATGCATCAAAATTCAATATTTCATGAAAAGATTAAGCACATTGAGATTGATGACAGTATGCATCAAATATATTATTTAATGAGAAGACAAGCACATTGAGATTGACTGTCAAGTTTGTGAAGTTGATTGATCAACTTGCAGATACCTCACCATGACCCTCATCGGTCCTCGTATTAATTACATTTGTAACAAGCTAGGTACATGAATTGTAAGCACTAGCTTGAGGAGGAGTGTTAGAACATCAATTAGTTATTACAATTCTATTAGAATAGGAATAGGTTTATATGATCCTATTTAGAATAGAATAGGAATGGGAATAGAAATAAAGTTAAGTCTTGGGCCTCACTCACCTTTTAGGGAACGTTCTACTTTAAACAAAAGTGGGGAATATTAGGTCGCCTGTAAAGTTAAGGTGTGCAAATGTCTTTTTCGAACAACCATGCGACATAACTTATGATTTCCCCTACAAACAATTATATTATATAATTAAGGAGTACATAACTAGTTCTTTCTCCATTATTTTGATAAATGATTTGATATGTTTTACTTGAACCGAGGGTCTATCATAATCCGCCAATCTACCTTCGTAATGTAGGTTAAGATACATACACTATACCTTCTTCAAACCCCATTTGTGAGATTAAAATGTGTATATTGTTGTTTTATTTTAAGGAATATATCAATTAAGTACAATTAATTATAAAACAACCAATTAGAAGATGACAAATATATTGTTGCAAACATTTATAGCATTATCTCCTCTTCTCACGCACTCACAAGAAGTTGGTAACACTTTCTTTGCCATATCACCTTTTAAGGAGATCTTAGTTCCACTTTAGCTAAGAATAGGGAGTATTAGGTTGCCGTAAAGTTAAGGTATGTAAATAACTTTTTAAAAACACCACGAGTTTCCCTACAAACATTTATATAAAGTAAGGAATATATTTACTTCTTTCTCCATTACTTTCATACCTAATTTAATATGCTTAACTTGAATTGAGGATATATTAGAAACAATCACTCTGCCTTGATAAGGTAGGTGCAAGGTTGTATACACTCTACCCTTTTCAATCCTTACTAGTGAGATTACACTGGATATGTTGTTGAAGAAAATATTATGTATGTGTAACTAATTATATATCAACCAATTAGAAAAAGGCACTTGTAACATTAGAATCATTTATTGTGTTTTTCCCTCTTCTCACACACTTTCTATAAGTTGGTAATACTTTTCTTTCTACGTTGCTCAAACTTTTCATGTTCAATGTCGCACTCGTGTTGTACGATGTGGGTGTAGGTGTAGGTGTGGGATCTGTACTAGCTCGATCAACCAATTTTGGGCACTTTGACCAAATTTAAGGGAGAAATTTTGGACAGAGTCAATGATTTCTATAATCAAAACTAAAACTAAGGTGAAATTAAAGAAATGGAATATATATATATATATATATAGTCGGTGCCTTTTCTTTTATATTCTTCCATGATTCTCCTATTGATCAATAGTTTTATCCTCAAGTTATCCACATAATATCTCATAATTGAGGTTTTATATCTCTATTTTCAGACATTTAAATTATTTTTAATCGAATCCCCGTACATGTACTCATAGACAGATCTGCATTCCCGAATAATAAAATTTAGAGCATACAGGATCCGACCTCTAGATCCGCACTAGAGTCTGAGCAACTTAGCTATCTTTGGCATATCACGTGAAACCTTTTCGGGGTATTAGTTACACTTCAAGCAAGAGTTAGGAGTATCCAGTCGCCCGTAAAGTTAATGTGTGCACTTTTTGGACAACCACGTGAGGTAACTTGTGACTTATATCTACAAACAATTACTCCTTCTATCCTCAACATAATTACTACATCCATTTCAATTTATGTTGCACCATTAAACTTGACACAAATTAGAAGAAATGAAGATTTCTGAAATTTGTGGCGATAAATCATTTCAAGGGAAAGTCTTAAAGTAAACTCATTTCCAATTGTAAAAACGTGACATGCCTTTAGTGACAGAATTGAAAAGGTAAGTGTACCACATAAATTGGGACAAAAGGAAATTCTATTTTACATAAAGATTTGCAATTCTTCGTTCCTCCACAATTCATGACAAATTATGCTAGGCAAATGTTCATAAATGTCGATTGTAAGTCGTCGTTTGAAATGATATGTCATTAGTTAATCAAGATCTTGACAAGCTCGTTACCACCAAGGGATAACAATTTTCCTTGCAAACCATTTAACCCTTTTAATGAATTCAATTACCATATATGTGAACTAATTCTAATCTTTTTCCTACCAGAATAGGACACATCCTAAATAGTTGAAAGGTAAAGGTCTTCCGTCATAACACGGTGGCTTCGCACCACTTGTTTTTTAACAAAGCGCAATGACCAATTGTGTCAATCAACGGTTCCTCTCCTACTAGGTTCAACCTGCCTCCTTGGGACTTAGCCCAAAAAAGTGAATTCTCGATTAGCCGCTTATCTTGTCCACGGAAGCTTATCCATCGAAAGACCTTAATTGTATAGGTACAACCTTGAAGCTTCCTCTTTCATATTGATGAAATGTTAGGTACCTCTTAATAGATCAAACTTCCCCCTTGACAGAGTTCAAAAAGGTACACATCCTAAATAGTTGACAGGTAGGGTTGCAAGAGGCGAAACCTGATCGCCGTAGACAAGAGGTGATGCAAGGCCTTGTTGTCGATTACTAGCGAGGTGGGGCGATCTCAAAAAGAAAATAAAAGTTGAGTCGCTTGGCGACAAAAGTGTTACCTTTTTAAAAAAACATGCTTAATTTAATAATTAAAAGGCAATATTAGGGTTTATTTGATGTTTTGGACAAACAAGATTCTCTTCTCCCTTTTTTCTCTCTAGCTCAGCTTTGTGACCTTCAGTTCGTAGTCGCGACCTTCAACTTATCTCTTCTTCTTTCTCCTTCAATCATCCGCTTCACAACCTCAGCAGGTACGTTTCCAAAACTTTTTCTTCCTTTTCTCTTCTACTTCTCTTCTTCTTTCATGTTGTGTTCTTTAATTTCTGTGGCACTCAACAATGTGCAATCTCTATTTTTTTTTATAGTTCTAGTATTTCTTGTCAATTGTCTTATAAAATATTAAGTCACTCAAGTTCTAGTCTTTTAGTATCTATTATTAGTTTTTGAATTGAATTTTTTGTTAATATGTTATTGCTATTGAGATTTGGGATATGTATATATGCAGATTAATATTTTAAGTTTTTGATTTTTTTTTAGGGAAAGAGTTTTTGGTATTAATTGGCGTCTCAATTGAAAAAAGTGAATGCCTCACACCGAGGCAGACCCTTGGCGCCTTTCACCGTCCAAAACACAAGTTGAAGGGAACTTTTCACGTTCAATATTTAAATAGCTGGAAGTTCCCTTTACTTTCTTTGGAGAAGTTTTATGATCCCCCAAAAAGAAAAATGCCATACAGCTTTTTAGACATCATGAGTTGTTTCCTTATCATCTTCAATGAATTTGATTTTTACCCATTGATGATGGCCACATATAATATGAGAGTCAAATGCATTCCCAAAATTGGCCATATTTTTGCACTATTGTTGCAGAAAATTACAAAAACCCAACAGTAATTTTCTTTTTCCTTTTTCATTCATTCATGTTGTTTTAGCTTTAGTCCGTGAAGCAATATCCTTCATACAATCACATCAATTTACCAATGTCAATAAATCAATACACAAAAGAATTGTCATTCTCGTATATTCTATGTACTCTACCCTGAGTTACAATCAGTAGAAGCACGAGATTGCAGAGCTCTCGTAGAAAATTTACATTAGAACTCTCAATAATGCTGAATGCAGCATAAACAGCCGTCCCCAAAATACCATTTTTTCAATGAAACAATCAAAGTCCAAGGAGAATGACGACACTATTCTTGGGAACACTTTCCACATTTGACACAGCAGAATCTGCTGCAAGAAAACCACAAAAGGTATAGGAAGTGACTCACTCGGGGGGAATTCTTGGTCCATGGAGTCAAATATGGAAGGGCAACACCCCAACCAAGGTGAAATGCTTCACCTGGTTGGTCACCAGAAGGGCATGTCTCACTCCAGAAAAGCTCAAGAAAAGAGGCTTCCAGATTGTGTCCAGATGTTTTTTTTGGCACGAGAAGGAAGAAACTAACAGCAACTTATTCCTACACTGTAGGGTTACTGTTCAGGTGTGGCACATGGTTCTCAGCATTTCTCAAGAGACCTGCATGATGCCAGAACATACTACCGATCTTTTGAGCTCCTACATGTGGTGGGGGGGGGGGGGGGGGAGCAAGACCAAAAAAAGATGGTGGTTTGTACTACCTACTTGCATCTGGTAGGCTATTTGGAGAGAAAGAAACCTCAGGTATCATGAGAATATTACTAACACTATTCAGAAAGTTGAAGAAAATTGTGTTAACATGTTTTTTTTGGTGTAAAGAAGATGGTATAGAAGTAGAACAGTTAATAGATTTCCTAGGATCTGTGTAATTATGGATTTAGCTTGTAACTTTTTGGAGGTAGCCAGCATATACCCTTAATGCTGAAGAATATAACTTTAACTTCATCAAAAAAAAAAAAGGTTTCGGATATTTAATTCCAGAATACAAAAGTCTAACCCAATGCACATCCCACATTAGACTCCGTTGTAAGAAATAAAATTGCACTTTACAAGAAAGGCGCCAAAACAAAAGCAATAAATTAATAATCTAAAAAGCAATATATAAGGTAAACCTGATGCCATCACATTCGCAGTGCACCCAGCGCTCGCAAATGTCACAGCAAACCATAGGTGTTGTTTCAGAATCTCTATAAACCTACAGTATTAAAAACAATTAATTGCATTCCACAGACCTATGGGAAGAAAAACACTCGGTTGCTCTTGGAAAGGCAATGAAAGTAAAAGGCATCCATAGCCGACAAATCAGAAACTTCACTTTGATAAACCACCATAGTAAAAAGAACCTCATTGTAAGATTAAACAAAGAGAAGCTCAAATATTAATAACTGCTAAAATATCAACCTTCAAACAAACTTGACAGTACTTCCCCTTAATAAATAATCTTCCGCAAGCATCACAACAAGTGTATCCTAGAAACCACCTGCCATAGATCAAGATATCAATAGTTCAGATGCAATAGGATATGCAATGCCTTGAATGATTTTCATAGGATATGCAATGCCTTAAATGGCATTCATAGGATATGCAAATGCATTAAATGATTTTCATATATCACATGCAGCATACAACATTATCTGATGCTACTATTGCAATAATTTATATTTTAATATCTCTATAAGATATTAGTGCGGAAAATTAACTTTGCTATGGACAAGCCCAAAACTAAAGAACTTATTTAAATTGCTTTCATAGCCCTTTATATAACATAAATGAAACTCCTACTTGATGCTCCTCTGTGAAGATAGAGAAATAAGGACATAGAGAAGTACATGAATAAACAGTTTAACTAAAATGGAGTCAATTAGACTGTTCAATTAAAATTTCCAGCAAAACTTGAATCCAACAGAATGTCCACTGGCTGCACATGGCCCCATACTACATACCTCACGGTCAGTCCTTTTCCTGGAACATTAGAACTACAGCTGTGACACTTTGTGTGTTTGGGGCACAAATAAGGACCACCTCTAACTCTCTGCACATCCCAAAAATAACTAAGTACAATCTACTTTTATCATTATACAGAACTGGAAGAATAAGACACGAAAATCCACCTTGTGTGGAGGCTGCATACAGTGACAGTGATAAGCTGCATCACACCTTTTGCAATACATGAACTTCCTTGAATCTCCAGTTGTTTGACAGACCTACACCAAATCGGGAGCATACATACAGTAAGCATATATGAACAATATAGTAAGCATAAGAACATGAGTTGAACAATTATATAGACATCAAATAGCTAAAATGCAATAATCACTAGAGTATGATGCATAATGCATGTCCAATTATCAAACAGAAGAGTTGATTTATGCAAAAGACTAAAACAAACAAAAAGCGGCCAATAGTTTCAGTATAATCTTACTCGATAGGGACACTTCCAGTAGTTTTTTTAAAGATATTTCATACTTGAAGAGATCTTTTCAAACTTATATGTTTGATAATCAATATTTGAGTAGAAACTGCACTTCATGTGATGCTGCCTCAAATAGATTAGTAACCTAACTTGCAATTCTCAGGAGCATATAAAAAGCCATTATTAGTGACATCCCTGACCATGAGCCACTCAAATAGAAAAGAAAGACAATAAGTTAAACTCCATTCATCGTCGTGTATATCTCATCAGCACATAAACTCCGGTCTTTGTGAGAGAAATCTAGTGCTTATTTACTGATATTGTCATTTTTCACCCTCTACCACCCCTTTCCTCCAAACCATCAAAAGAAATTTCCACATCCAGATAAAATACCAGTATACCAAACCAATAAACTCATTTATTGCCCATGCAACACATGCAGCAACACTTTCAATTTGTGTGATATAAGCCAATCCAGTCCCTTCAGTCACTCGGACAATAAAATTAATAATTCCATGAGCACCATTGTTTGGCACCTTCTACCACTTCTTCCTTCAATATGTCAAAAACCTCTCACATCCCCAAATCCAGCTTAGATGCAAGCTAGTGATGCCAAGTTAAGGGGTTATTGCTTCACCTGTGATGTACATGCTTTGGGAAAACTTGGGACAGACAAGATGAGACAGAATTTTTTTTTCAACGAAGCACGGAAAATTTATTTGATAACTACAGAATATGGAAAAGGTAGGGAAAAGGGAGCAAAAAGAGTAGGGTTTTTTTTTTGATATATGGGTACTAGTATTCCTCTCTACAATAAAGTGTAGTTGACATGTTTTTTTTTTATTTCAAGTTTTTAATGCTTCTACTATTGCTATTGTTAATCAAGTAAACGTATTCTCATTCATGAACATGGCCAAGTTTGCCGTATACAAGGAATATATCAAAAGATATAGAATCTACAAAAGGATATGATTCTTTACAAACTCCACATACTCATCTACTCGCTTTGTCCCAGTTTATATGATTTACTTTCCTTTTAAATCGGACCCAAAAAAGTATGACACGTTTCTACATTAAGAAACAATTTCACATTAAAATGCTCATTTTACCCCCAATGAAATGATTTACTGCCACACAAATATATTTCACTTATTTTAGACCACAAATTTAAGAAGCCTTCCTTTCTTTTTTTAAATCTGTGTCAAGTCAAACTAACTCATATAAAATGGGATGGAGGGAGTAAAAGCAAGGGACTTTTTGTTCACACCAATAGAAAATAAGGGAACTGAAGAAACTTGACTCTACACCTTCAAAAGATCTCTCATTTCTCTCTCTCTCTCAAGATTACCCACATTAAAGCAAGTGGAACCACGTTCTATGCCCTTCGTCTTCTTTTCCTTCTGTGCTCTTCCAACTGAACATCAAATCTTTCACAGTTTTTGGTAATGCTCTTGGAGTGCCCAACCACCCAACATTTCCCAACATAGCCTCATGGTTAGCTTGAAATGTAAGAAAAAATGATCCACATCCTCACCTGCCTCCATACACATGTAACACCAACTAATGAAAGACAACACACACCTTCCTCAACACCCTTGAGATCCATATTGCATAACATGGAAAAGTCATCTTCTCCCTAACCAATAGTTTCTCATAGAAAGACTTCACAAAGAACATTCCATTATTTCCAAACCCCACTTCCAAACATCGAAATAATCAATGGATTGACTAGATTCTGTGTTTCCTTAAAATTTCTTTTTCTTTTTCTTCTTCAAAGATGACACTTTCTTTGTATGCAAATCCCTATCTTAAACTACTGCTGATTTTGAGCTTTGCTTACCTTTCAACTCTATGTATAGTTACTAAAACAATTCAATATGAAATTAAATGCTGCACATAATTACTTTTATAGTCAGTTTATTGAGAATCTAAAATGAATGTTGACCATGCAGACACATAGGGAAGTTGAAAAAACCTCTTTCTACAGTTAAGACACCGACCTTAGTCAGGATCTTTTTTTTAAAAAAAATCGGGGTAAACTTACCCAAGATTTGTGAGTCAAAACCTACATGAGTGAACTCACATAGGTCTAGGCAACAGATTAACCTAAAAATGCGTAAATATGAAAACCTCAGGTTGTTGCATATGGCTAGCAAAGAAAATTAGGACATCAGTTGATATCTCATATAAATTTATTTTTTCCATTTTGTTAGGTAATAAAAGTCAAATGTTTTGTCGAATTAGCTTTGACCTTCTTAAACACAACAAAGAAAAAATAAAAAGAACAACTCATGGTACAATTGCCACATTAGGGGAAGTTATTAAAAAGCAAAACCAACTATATTTCATTATTTTATCGAAAAAAATCAAACCGTTTACCTCACAGAGCCGGCAAGAGGGACATGTCCATGAACTCCAATGCAAGAGATCTGTAGGAAGGGGCATATTAGCAAAAGCATAACACTAAAAACTGACATATCTTGTGGCAACTTATAAGAGTACCTCTATGTTGACCCCAAGTTTTCAGGCATCTTAGGTGACACTTCTTCCCACAACAATTGCATGACATCATCTTCCTTGCTCTTTCACCTCCTTCATTTTCACAGGAAAAGCATAGCCAACACATCACTTTGATATTTGATAGACCTTGCTCCTCTCCACCAACATCTTTCATGGAGCCCTGAGGGAAGATTTTTATTTGTAAATAAAAAGACTGAATACTTTCGTGTAATAATTTACAACTGCAGTTCCTAACCTCCTCATCTCCAGACTGAAATCCTCTAGCGAAATCCTCAGCCACATTAGATGAGGCAGCATCTTTCTTCTGCAAAGCAGCACGCGCATTCTGAGCTGAAGCAATAGAAGTTGCCTCCTCACCATCCCCGCCACTGCTGCCACACCCATCACCCACAAGCACCTGTGAGGGCGACGAAATGAGAAGCTTGGGCACCTTAACCTGACATGTAGTAGGCTGTTTGGCCGTAAGACCCCATGAGTCCTCGAGAAACTCCTCAAATCTTGTGACATCTGGCAAGAACTCATTTTTACCCTTTGTAAGCCCCTCTGGACAGAAGCAGTTCTTTAGACTGCACCAACAAAGGCAAAAATACTCAACTGGGTCAGAAATTCCAAAGCAAACACAACAAAACACAACCAAGAAACTGATTTGCATCCATCCATAAAGAGAGAGAAAGAGAGAGATAGCAGATCCACCAGCTATACCAAAAAATAGCCAAACCCCACATCCAAAAACGCTGGATGGTTTATAAAAATGACCCCAGTAAACAACTTAAAACCATAAAACAAAGAAACCCATTTGGCATCCTTGGCCTAGATAAGAGAGAGTAGATAGAAGAGTGATAATTAAAAGAAAAGGAGAGAAAATAAACAGAATTATAGACAAATAATACAAAAATAAAAGAATGTAGTACCAGGTAGGGCAAGCTGTGCGGAAGGCCATATGCGAGATGAAGATTTTGGTGTATGAGGAACTTTTGAAGAGTTCAAATTGGGAAAAGCCCTTTGGGGAAAAAGAGAGAGGAAGTGGAGGGGGCGTGACATGTGATTGTGGTTTCTGTGAGTTTTTAGAATTACACAAGTTTGTTTATAAGGTGAGGCAAGATTTACATTTGGCCCATTGAAGTTTTTAAAATATTGATAGAATCCATGATTGTTTGTATAGTAGTGTAAAAAAGTCCAAAATCCAAAAAAGGAAAAACATTTAATAAGAGAAGATAAACTTTCAGAAAAATACATATGGTCATTGTGAGTAGATTTTCATA